ATCTTCCTGGGGGTAAAGGGCGGCCGGCGCGTGAGGCTGTAACAACCTCACCTCCATATGTGAGCCGGTTTTCTAGAAAATGTGGGAACCTCGACGTCTCACAACCCTATGGGCCTCCATGGCCTGTTACAGGGATAGCTTTACCTTTAATTTACTTTACTTGTACTAATTTCCATATACCTACAACCTATATAACACCAGATTGCAGCGATACACGGAATTAAAATTAATCCACGTAAATTCACTAACATCTTAATTTGCTCCATTTATTTATATTAGCACCTATTTAAATTAATTAAATTACTTCAAACTTGATTTATTTTCCATTTATAACAAACCTTAAATAATAAGTAAGTAAGTAAGTAAAGGTATCCCTGCAAAAACCCGTGGAGGCCCATAGCGTTGAGACGTCGAGGCTCCCACATTTTCTAGAAAACCGGCTCACATATGTAGGTGGGTGAGGTTATCACAGTCTCACGCGCCGGCCGCCCTTTACCCCCAGGAATATTCCTGGCACTAATTTCTGTTAGAGACTGAGTCGACCTCAGGGACATAGTGCGGCTGAAAAATCTAGTGGCCTCATCAGGAATCGAACCCGAGACCTTCCGGCTTGTAGCATAGTGTATGCGGCAATCTGCACGCATTGCAGATGAGCTGCCGCAGGCGGGGCCAGAGTACGGAGTGCTGTACAGCAGGTGCATGAGTGTTCACGGCGGACCCAGATGTGGAGACATAAAGGAAAGAGTGTCTCGCGTCTGTGTGTCGCTGCTTTCAGTTCCCGCATTCTTTGCCGTATTTTAATATGGAACACCCTCACTGAAACTGAAGGCAAAATAAAGACAGTTGCCTTCTGGGATCTGACGCAATGTCCTTTGGAAAATGGGTGTTGTACTCCGCCTGCTAATGGCACGAGGGGGCGTCATCGTCAGTTAAGCCGGGTTTACACGGGTCAAGTAAACGGTCATGTAGAGCGGTAAAGTTAATTAGAATATTTTTCTTGCATCGTGTAAACAGTTCCGGCCAAGTCAAGTACCGACTTGCGTCAAGTAGCGAGACAAGTCAAGTAGTTCTGCACGGTGGACAAGTAAAGTGACTTGACTGCTACCCCCACCACGAATTTTACCACTTGATCGCCTACTTGACCGCTGACTTCACACGTGTAAACAAGAGATGATGCAAGTGAGCAGGCCGGCAGGACTAATATAACCAGCTTTCTCATATCTGGCATTTGATTCGTATACACTTTGTGTACATCTACTTGAACATCTACTGAACTACGTGAAAACACGTTTGTCAGGCTGTACCTAAGTCAAGTCAAGTAGAACAAAACCACGCAAGTACGGAGGCAAGATACTTGACCCGTGTAAACCCGGCTTTAGTGACGTAGACGTTACGCCATCGTTAGGAAGTTACTAGATTCTATTTTCAACGTACTTCCATTAACCATACGCTGGTGGTAAATTCAAACATATTACAGAGGACTTTTCTCCCGTAAGGTTGGCTACACAAGGTATGACGTACCGTTGTTCGCAAAGTGGATGGACTTTAAGGGTCATTCCACGCTCGATGATTGTTTCCTTTCATTCTTTCTGCTTTCCCACACTTGCAGTATATGACGCGGTTGTGTTTGGTAGATAAGTACCAACGTTTCGCAGGAACCTTCTGGCTATACCTTCAGGGTTATTTCTTCCTCCCTGAAGATGGAAGCAGCACATTCGCCCGAAATATTGGTACCTATCTACAAAACTATCTGCTGCTCCTATCTTCAGCATCAGTTTTTCTACTTTGAAGATGGAGGTCAGTAAGGTACTCCTAAACATTCGTACCTATCACCGCACGTCATAACCTAGCAAGACAATAATCCCAATACTGCCATGAGCTCCTCAAATCTCATATACTAATGACCTTTGGTTTCGTATGTAAATAATAACGTATATATCAGTACGGGCCGAAATTACGCAGAGGAAATGATAAATAACTTACACAAACATTAAATTACAGATTATAAAAGGTTAATCAACTCCATCCAGTGTGACTGATAAAATGTTTTATCTTTCTTTCTTTTTTAATCTTTCATCCGTGACATGTTTCGGTCTGAGAGACCATCTTAAGAAAGATATATCAATACAGGTAGAAACTACTATCACAATGTGATTGGTCAATATCAATGCATACATACAATATCATCACAATGCCATGAACATAAAATTTGATCCTATAACAACTACAGGACGTGCATGAATACATTAAAATATTTACGTATAAATTATTACAATTAATCTGTTTACAAGTGTGGTTTAAAAAAGATTTTGTTAACATTTTTAGAACCAATTTGGTTCGTGCCCTTTATATTGCTTCTCTGTTTAAAGGAAGTTGAGTGTCTACCGCCTCGTGGTTCGGTCGCTTGGTGAACAGGACTCTGCAAATATATTATGGGTATAACCTTTTATAATATTGCTACTGTGACGGACCAGGACGAACCAAATCAAATTTAAATTACTGAATTTATAACCTGCATTGCTACAAACTTATAACTTAGAATAGAAAGGAGCAGGGGTAACCCAGTCGGTATTACGTCGGACTACAGTTAGAGACGAGGATTTCCAAACTCTTGCCACGTGACATGCGCATTTAATTTCTCGTCGTAAGTTTTCATGGCGATATTTAAAGTTTAAGCCTACTATCTGTTGGGATGTGACGAAGGACAGTCTGCTACATCGCTATCTGCGTTTCGGAGGAACCTGATCCTCATAGTCAGGGTTAGTTCCTTCGACGTTTTGGTAACTGTACTACATTACACAGTAACGTCCCTCGCCTAAACACCTGTCCGTGGAGGTAAAGTTCCATGTACTCTTTTACCTAGACATTACATGGTGAGGAGCGGTCAGCTTTATGTTCCTGTTGTCTTTACTCCTATACAAGAGCTATTGATAACCTTTAGATATGGACGCCGTTAGTGCCGATATCCCATGTTCTTGCCGGGAACCAAATCACCAGAAGCTTGTCTAAGCTGTTTGCAATCGGTATCTTTAAGTACGGTTTTTCCTGTCATTACAATAATAACTTCAAGTAGGTTTCGAGGCTAATAAGCGCTCAGCTACTCAGGAAATTCCAGCGTATTATGACGTTTGAAGATTCATACACAAGAGCCTACCACTGGTCCTCGTCTCGAAGCAAACTAATCCAACCCACATCCTCATACCGCATTTCCTTTACACCCGCTTTAATAATATCCTCCCATCTTCACACGCATGTTCCAATTGGTCTTTCTGTAAAATTGTACGTGCATTTCTAATCTCTCTGAGGGCGAGGCGTTGACTCGCGCGATCTGCAATACGATTGGACGGTCACCAGCTTCTGAGAGTGTGAAGTTCAGACGAAGCCAGAGAAACGTAACTGACGCCCTCGAGACGCCCTCACTCATCAAGTCAATGGGTATGAACCGCGCAGGCAAGATTTCGGAGAAAAACTATATTAGAACGGCATACAAGTCAACAGATTCCAGGCATAACTGCTCGGTGTCCTTGTCCGTACACTACAATCTTCTATACAGGAACCCGACGAAACTGTTCGACTAATTGTTCCAGCACCTCGGAAACTGGCATATCAGTAAAAGGCAAAGTTCTTCCTGTGCTTAATTAATTAAACACCACGCCATGAAGATGTATGGACAGTACACCTCGGCACTAGTTGCAGGTGAGGGGTCTGCTCCACGACCCGATCGCTTTACCACCGGGGAAGGCGCCACCGGTACGCACTGGATAGGAGGCTGGGTGGGCCCCAGAGATGGTATTGACGCTGCGGAAAAGAGAAAATCTCTTTCCCATGCCAGAAATCGAACCCGGCCGTCCAGCCCGTTGCTATACTGACTGAGTTCTTCCGGCTCCCTGGCACATCGGTACGTGATTTACGAAGTGAGCACATTATACATTCCCCTTCCCACCCGACTAGATTTCCTAATATCATCTTGGCTGTCCATTAAACGAGATCTGTCATTTTCAGAAATTATAAAGTTTTCAAAAATAGGTTGACGATAATGATGAATTGGAAAGAACAGGGAATCATGCGCCGGTGGCCTACTTTGAGGTCAACAGAAACTGAGGAAAATCAAATAACCTTCGGGATAGTAGCACTGCGAATAGAGATTGGGAGCTTGACTTACACAGTACGAAGCAGGAATACCGCACAGCGACTCTCGTTGATTCGGTAGTCGTAAAGGTAAATAAAAATAAGGTAGTCATGGAGATAAAAATAAACAGAAGCTCAAGGCACAGAACTAGACACTGCAACACAATTTCTTAAACACTTGATAGAAACTCTTATTTCAATACGTGAAAATCTTTGACAGAAAAATAGAACAAAAACAAGTTTGATTTTTTTTTTTTCATTATAGCAAGCAAGCCTGAAGGATCAATAATGGTAACGGTTCATGCTTGATTGATCTGTTTCGCTCAACCGAGCATGACAAACACGGTGGTGTTACGTGTGTCAGGTGGAAGTGTTGATAAGGCCACTCAGATGAGTCCGAGCACAGAATTAACTAAAACACCAGCATTTAAAAAACTAAGAACATACCTGTCCATTCTTAGTAATAAGAAACTCTCAAAAGATGAGACAGACATAAACCGCACTCAATCAACGTATATTCAAAAGTACTTAAAACCATGTGCAGAATTCGTAGCAACTTTTGTTTCAACAATATGAATTAAAGTGAAATAAAAATTGTGTCGTCTGGGATATAATGCAGTGTAATCCGTCTAAAGTCGATTTTTAATGGTATAACTGCAGAACGCACAAGTCTTTATAACCATCGCTGTGAGAACCTCAAATCCTGTCTAATGAAATAAATTTTACAGACCATTTTTACGCAACACAGACGCATTAATTATATGACATCGAAGTTACACTCACTGTCGTTTTAAATGACGATACCTGACGCGACATCTCTGCAGCTTCCCAAAGGGCAAAGGATTATCAGATCATGGCATATTTTCGCTTACCTGGTCCCAAGTCTTCACGAACATGAAGTGCACACAGGACTGAATGAGCGATGTCAAAATAAGGAAACATTTTCAACTTGACCACCTGGTTGGCCAGGTCAAGGAATGCTTCCGGATCCATGATGATTCTGTCGTTTTGTTCTGTATATCACTCTACCCCCAACCCCCAAACGAATTTCGGAGAACCGAAAAACGACCGGCCTTCTACCCTCTCAGCTGAGCTCTGGAGGCAAGACGGCAATATTCGATAACTCGATAATTTGCAACATTACCACAAGGGGCGGTAGCATTACAGGATGATTACCAAAACTGCTACCAGAGGCAGCAAAATCCAACTTTTTGCATAATTGCTAGAGGTTTCAAGTACTATTCAAAGATGTCACTACATTTTGTCTGAATGCAGGAAGAAGAACATCTACAGATCTAAAGTCAGTTATAGACCGTTATCGTTATCCAGCCCTTAAGGTTAGAAGAAAGAAGATTTCATAAAACAACGTTCTTATATTTATATATATAAGAAAATTAAAAGAAGTAATTTTACTGATTATTAACAGTATACTCTCAGATTTAAGTTGAGTCCTATATAAGAATCGCAGTGTTACCGCTTTGTAGAATAACATATTTATAAGAATGTGCCACAGAAGGCCGGATGGGCATTGCCTAGGCCTTTTTTGTATTTATAATATTTTTTCTACACTAAAAAAGCAACATTTACTTCGCCATTTTTGATATCAAAAAGTAGCCCCAAATTCGTGGACAATAGATAATGGATATGTACTCCACCATAGCTGGCAAATGAAGCGCCTGTTGTCTTATAATTTGACCTATAAATGACGTCCTTATACACAGATTTCTTTTTCATTGATTTTGCTGATGTTGCAGTTGCCTATTGTCTTTCAGAATGTGATGCCACTTAATTTGCAAATGGGTAGCAGCTTTTTTGAGGAACGTACTGAATCCACCTTCAAAATAGGGGGCAAATCCCTTAAGATGGGGGTGATATGTTCCTCTTAAATGCCAGATTACATCCCATTCCAGAAGACAGCAATCTTAATGGTCACTGTTTATTCTTTGGCTTCTGTGTATGCCTGTAGAGTAATTTAGTGCAAATACTATCCAAGCACTGAAGGTAGCTTCCTCAGTTTCACCAACCATGGCTACTGGTACCTCTACACCTCTCCCCCCACTCTTCACTGACATCCTGTCAAACTATTTGAAAGTTGTCATGCAATTCTAATGAGCCCTTTATGCAAGTTGCATGTGATATAGCAAAAGAAACTGTGGGAACATCCCACATATATTTATACAGCACCACTTTCCCACTCACTTTTCACCATCACACACCCTAACCAATCACACAAACCATTTGAAAGAACCTCATGATTAAACTCACGAAGATACGAGAGTAGTAAAAGTATTGGTGGTAAACCGCCATTTGTAAATTAACTCAGACTCCAAAGAATGTAACACCACTTAAATGACTACATCTCCTGAGATATGAACCCATGTAATATAGTAGAAGAGACTTCTACCATGAAGACAGACCTCCATAATAATAGCAAACTACACATTCCAGAAGACTGTAATTTTAACATTCATTGCTGTGACAGCCCCAGTGTTAGAGAATATTTCCAAAGTGAGTTCAAGTTGCTTGTAAAAAATGTTAAATGTTAACCAAAGTTATTCTCAGTATATTTTCTGCTTGCTATGAATTTGTTCCTCAAAGGGACAAATTTTCAAGCATATTAAATATTACCGTACGTATTTAGCTTCTTTCTACCAATTCTCACTCCTCCATAATTAGTAGATCATGAGCAATGCAAGACCTCTCACGATAGAAAAGTCGTACATGTAAAATAACATTAAGTTATTTGCAAATGTCTACAGTTTTCAGTTGAATGGACCACACTTCATTATGTTGTATTACTGTGTATTCAAGTGACCTGGGTTCAACAATGCCAGTGCCTTCAGAACTCAGTTTATCTTCCCGTATTTAATTTTATTTCTGGAAGGGAGGTATTAAAACAGTCCTACAAGATGGTACTTGTTCCAAGATATATAGATATTATTTTCACTTTGAAAACCTTCTGAAAATGTTCCTTGTTCCACATAAGCAGTGCATATCATGTTAGTGGAGAGGACATGATACCATAGAGAAATGTTCATTTTTATGGCCAAAAATATGCAGAAATAAACATGTATGAAGTTTTGATTACAGAACCTTTTTTTGCGTTTTCCCAATGTCTGGGCAGTGATATACTGCATTTATAGCCTAAAATGAAAATGGCCAGGCATTTCAACTGAAAATACTGGACAGACCTTTCCCAAAAAGTCAGATTCCTTTTGGATTGGACTTTAAAGGATTCTGATGATGATGTATGCTTTACAGAACTATTAAGCTTATTTTGGACTCTATCCATCGTCTGGTATATATACAATAAAAAACCCACAATGTGCAGTGATTGAGACTAGCTCTTTCGAACGGGCCCAACTGAGTAGGTCTATCCTGCCCCATAGACCTGAGGACGGAGACAGATCCTGTCTCCAAAACGTTGTGGTTTTTTGTCTTATATATACCAGACGATGGATAGAGTCCAAAATAAGCCTAATAGTTCCTATCGGATTATTAAGAAAGGAAACACGATGCATTGAGAATAGGAGTCACTGAGTGCATGAGTATGAGAATTGGGATCAGTTCTGCAAATGTGTGAAATTCGGTCATTTGTGGCCCTCTTTATCATTCTGTATTTCCCTTTGAGAATTCAACAAGAATTATTCTTATGTATTAATAATTAAGGTTTGCATACTTGCAATCTTCTGGACAAGAATGACAACAGGAAATCTGACATAACAGTGAAGCAGCAGGACAGGGTTAGGGTCTAGGAGTTGTGGGGAGGAACTGTATTTTCGAGACCATACAGTAGACCGGTACATTGTAACTTCTGTGGAAAGCATGGAAATGCTATAAAGACAGAAATTATACAGGACTACAAGGTATGGGGTGTACTGACAAAGATGACAGAGTAACCAAATGTTACTTCAGTGTGTGTGGAGGGACAGGCACTTCCACCCTTTTGCACTTGACAATTCTGAACAACCTTCTATATTTCATGTAAAAAAAAAAAACTCCATGGCCTGTAGTCCACAAGCAAACTATACCAACCGAGCAACCTCCTCTTGTCAGTGAAGTTAGTGCCAACTTTTGCGACTAGATGGTGTCATGTGGTCAGTGCAGCAGATCCCTTTGCAGCCGTTTAATCTCTGTTTTCTAGACTGAAGCCATTATTTCCTTCAAACAGCTCCTCAATTATCCTCACGAGGCTGAGTGGACCCCGTTCCAGATGCACTACTTCTCAAAAAATCTTGTAGCACTGGAAATCCAACCCGGGACCTCTGAATCTGTAGGCAGGAACTCTGACCACCAGACCACAGAGGCGGTCGCTATACTTCATATATGGCGCCCCAAAACAGAGACTTCTGACTTGTCCTGGTGACTGAAAAGGCCTGGAAATTAGCATGTCCAGACTGATGCCCAGGCCAACCTTTTGTAATGGAGAAACATGTTACTCAGCTTGAAGTAAACTTCAGCAATCATTAGCCACTTCAGTCATCCACAGCATTTTGTTGCACCTGTTCTGCACAAGGAATAACAAGTTAGGAAATGTACACACAGTCTTAACAGTCCAGTATGTTCCCTGTTATAGCCTCCAGGTTTCTCACGTTATGAAATGACACCATACAAATCACTTTTGGAACCCCAAATACTTGCAGAACAAGTACACTGGATATAAAATGTGTGCTTAAATTTTCTCTGCAACTTCTGTTTGAAATATTTTTAGCTCCAATAAATATCTAACCAGTTAAGTCATCATGTAAAGCATTCAATACTGTTGTCCGATTTAAACGAAACTGGAATCTCTCAACAAATTTGAATATAACTCCCCAATAAAAAATTTCATTACATTTGTTCAGTCATACTTGGGTTGTTATGTGTTGACTGACAGATGGAAGGCATGGTGAAGCTAATAGGCGACTTTCTGCAGCTTCTCAAACTTAGCGAAAACTTTAAACTAATGGTTACTTGAAACCATACAAGAATTTATCACTAAATTCATATATAATGCCAGAATCAATTACAATATCTACATCTGAAGCCTAAAAAGAGTGCACATTTCTGGAATGGAATAGCTGAATAATAATAAATTTCATCCCACCCCCCCACACCCACAAAATGATGAAGTCATGACTGTCTGTCCACATGGTGACCTCAGAAATTATTTGAAGAATCTTAAACTTGGTATTTTTTTTGGGGGGGGGGTCAGGTGAATTTAATCTGGATTTATATATATCCAGTACAAGCATTAACTTTCATAAGGTTCAAGTTCAGCTTTATCAAATTTATCAAAAATATCTTATCTTACAAAAAATTGGAACACAACTTAAATGTAAATTTCAATATGATATACTGACCCCCTCGTTGGTGTCTCCACCTTATCGTGGTGAGGGGGTTTGAGTATGCCAAGGACCCTGAGAGCTATACCAGCGGTAGCGTAGCTACTGGCAGGGCCTCCCTTGCTGGACAGGTTAAAGGGTAGGCATCANTACTGTCTGCAGCATGTTAATTTGGATAACATGTGTACTCAAAGGTTCACTCATTTCTGTTATTAATATGCCAAACCTTAATTTGAAAAATATTACACACTGTGGGAAAGGCAACTGCTTTGGGAGGAAAACCTCTGCTCTAAACTCTCCACTGAGGAGTTAGTAAATCCTCTCGATATCATGTGTGAGTCACAAACATAAAAGTAAATAATTACAAAATAGAAATTACCTACTTAGAACGAAAAGAAATAGCTAACTACATTTCATCTGTTCCACGATAGAAGACAAGTTTTAAGAGGAGTTGTCAACAGTTTCAGTATAGCCAACTGTTGTTGCTGCACTGTACTGTCAGCACTCAGCCAACTGTTAACATCAATAGCATTCTACTTTTCTTTGTCATAATACTACATTTTCATAACTGTATATGAAATGAAGGGTATGTTCTGTGAACAGTTCACTGAGATAACAATATTTTAATTTCTTGAGGGAACTTTATTCTGTATCTACAGACCTAGTTCAAATGTAATGATATTTTTTAACTGAATCAATACAATAGTTTCTCAAAGGACACTTTGTTAACAGACCACATCCATATGATGAACTTTTCAAGCATTGTGCCAAAATTTGGAAGAAAAAAGAAGCAACATTTTACTACTAGCAATTAATTTTACATATATGACTAATCTTTTAAATGCATTGCATTTACATGCATGGATGCCACCAGGATTTCCTTTGGGGGAGGGGCAGAAAAACTTATATTTAAACTGTTTTAGATTTTTAAACCCATTTCTCTGGAATACTTAAGGATGAAGAATGAATTAAATAATTAATCTTTAAATTTAAGGCATTTACATAAATGGGCAATGAAACAATTTTTTTCCAAGGGACGAGAGGCAGAGAATTACAAACCACAGCATAAGCTGCTTAAAAATTTTTTTGCTGACTGCATCAGGGTATTTTGGATAAAAGAATACATTTACAGCATAATTCTAGTTGCTGGTATATTTCCTTATTTTTCAACTTTGATTTTTTCCAGAAAGCCACAGGGAGGGTCTCAAATCCCTGGCCTTGTCCCTCTTCCAGCACCCATGCTTACGTGTGACATAAGGGACAATGGTTCGGTATGGTAGTTAAGAGGTCAATAAATCTGAATTCATTCTGGTCAGGTACTTTTCCTTACCTCAGAAACATAAAAAGGAGAATATTAAACAAAAAAATATATATAATCTGAAGTTGACTCATCACACTTATGTTACGGTTCACTAATTGTTCACAGAGTGTTACCAAAACTCATTTTCAGACTACAGGCATATGACACCGTTACTATTGGCCATAAAGACACCATTCAATTAGCAGCTGAGCTTGTCTCGGATTCTCCTTGGTTGCAGTGAAGTGTTCTGGAATAAAACTCTTGGCCCTCATGCTTGACAGCTGCACATCATAGTATACATAAATCTGCAACAGTAAGAAGTTTGCATCCCGAACAGTACTACCCAGATTTATGGTGAGAAGAACAACACTGTATTATTAGAGCATATGAGAGACATCATATTCTCATATACTGAAATTTGGTAGGACAGAAAATTGTCAACTTTTTCAAGGTCTTGACAAATTATGAAAGCTCAAGCATAAGAGTATGACTAAAAAAAAAACTCCATGGTCTTAGTCCACAAGCGAACTACACCGATCAACCGAGTGACCACCGCTTCTTGGCGAAGTTAGTGCCAACTTTAGCAGATAGAGGGTGTTGCATGGTCAGAGCAACAGATCCCCATGGCCATTAATCTCGGTTTTCTAGACCACAGCTGCTACTTTTCCATTCAAGTAGCTCCTCAATTATGCTCATGAGGCTGAGTGGACCCTATTCCAGACCCACTACTTCTCAAAAAATCTGGTAGTGCCAGGAATCGAGCCTGGAACCTCTGGATCTGTAGCCAGGAACTCCAACCACTAGACCATATGACACATCTCTTAAAGCCTTCCTGTATTAATGTATCTTCATCTTTGCACAAAATACCCCATCTTAAGAAATTACAATATGCTGAATAAAGAGAATAGGAAAGTTGGTTAATATCTGACTGCATAGAGCTGAGTCCTTCATGAGAAAATAATAGTTGCTCAAACAATCAAAAACTCACACCACCTTATAAAAACCAATTTTAGATTACCAGGTTAACAACAGCCTGCTACAGGTCCCTATCCTGAGCCAGATTCTGTCAAAGGTCCAGTGTAATATTTTGTAACCCTAGTGCTACAGGCTTTGCAGATGGGTCATGTTGCTTCATGATAACCAGGGCCTGGGTTTTGATGACATGTCATCTTTTTTTCCTTGTATCCTATGCGATGCTCTTAAATATACAAATCTCGGATATGAGCTGCTGGTTACAGAAATGTAAATTTTATAGGTAATTTTCATCATTTTTTGACATTTTAGATTTAAGGTAATTTTTCCATTTTTTGGGCAATTTTTTGGTAGATTTTTGGATTTTTAAGAGTATTTCTTGTCATTTTTGGCCATTTTAGGGAATTTTTCTTCATATGTTTTCTGAAATGTGAATAACATGGAAGCGAAGTGTTCTTTCTTTTCTCCTTCATGTCATTTTTCTGGATTTTTCGGTCATTTTATAAATATTTTCAGGTCATCAAAATCCGGGCCCTGCATATTACATTTTTGGGTTATATTTTAGGTCATTTTTCTGGATTTTTTCGGTCATTTTATAGGTAATTTTTTAAATATTTTCAGGACATCAATATCCGGGGCATGATGATAACTGAACATCAACAAAAGAGTATCAAAAATATGAAGTAAAAAGTTCTGCATTGCTGTGAGAGCTTCTGAAGTGTACAAAGCAAAAAACCAGCCTCAAAACTTGGAGATGACTGGACTGTGGCAAGCCAGGAACTTGCCTCACTCGCTCAGTCAACTCAGTGGCAGGGCAGATTACCTTATTGGTGAATGTTGTATAGACGAGGCAAGGAACAGGTGGCTGACCAGGCTGGAGGGTGTAGTAACCTGAACAAAAGCTCATGACTGACTCCTCCAGCTGGAAACATACAATGCACTTCTCTTGGTCCAGGATGTATGTTTGTCCATCCCATGAACATGCCACAATTTCATCTCGACCATCCCCGGTCATGTCCAGTTTTGTGAGTGCAAACAGCTGATGATCTACCTGAATGGACCTGGACAAAAAGATAATAGCTTGTTGCTATCTGCTGCTTGCTCTATATAATTCTGATATGTAGCACTGAATGACAAACAAGATGGTGGTTATAAATGATGCTTTTGAAAAGTTATGGGAACAAGCAGTCATGATCTATCTATATGTACCTGTTGCCACTCAATTTAAGTTTGCTTATCTTGATGTTATCAGATCAAGTACTTAGCATTCCAATTTTATAGTTTGTATTGCAATACAAAATATGATACAGGATACTGTGTTGGACTTGGAATTTTCACAGCAGTAATTATGAAGAGAAGTATCTTCTGAGATTGATGTCCAAAACCATAAAAATTAGAATATACCAAACTATAATTTTGCCTGTGGTTCTGTATGGGTGTGAAACTTGGTCTCTGACATTAAGGGAGGAACATAGACTGAGGGTGTTGGAGAACAGGGTGTTGAGAATATTTGGACCAAAGAGAGATGAAGTGACAGGAGGTTGGAGAAAACTGCATAATGAGGAGCTTCATAACTTGTACTCTTCTCCAAGTATAATTAGAATGATCAAGTCAAGGAGGATGAGGTGGGCAGATCATGTAGCACAAATAGGACAGACGAGGAATGAGTATAGGATATTAGTGGGAAAGCCAGAAGGAAAGAGACCACAGGGAAGACCAAGGCGTAGGTGGGTGGATCTTAGAGAGATAGGATGGGATGGTATGGATTGGATAGATCTGGCTCAGGATAGGGACAAGTGGAGGGCTCTTATGAACATAATAATGAACCTTCGGGTCCCATAAAATGCTGGGAAATTCTTGAGTAGTTGCAGAATTGGCGGCTCCATCAGAAGGGCTCAGTTCCATGAGTAAGTAAGTATCTTCTGAGATGGAGGCCGCACCATAGTTCAAGCGTTTAGTCGCTGGCTTCCCACCGCGGCAGCCCAGGTTCGATCTCAGGTCTGGTCAAACGGGATTTGTGGTGGGCAAAGTGGCGCTGGTGTGGGTTTTCTCCAAGTATTTCGGTTTCCCTTGCCAATCTTCATTCCACCAAATTCTCCATCATCATAATCACCCGGGGCAGGCACAATAGGCCAATCAGTGGCCGCCATGCCGAGTGGACTCAGTTGGACTCCACCCCAAACTAAGCGAATCTTCTGAGATGTGACAATGTGCAGTCCAGTGGAGGTTTGATGTTTTGGAAGAACATACTGCCTCCATCTTCAGGGATGAAAAGTATGCTAAGCAAGCAACCAACCAGCAAGAAGCACAGCGATATTGGCTTACCCTTCAACCCTGAAGATGGAAACAGTACATTATATTTTTGGATCTTCATGTGTGCAAACTTCTTTATTTTATTCTGTCACCAAAATAGGAAGGATGCACACCACATATTCGTCTTACAACATGTTTTGGCTCAATAAGCCATCACTTTACATTCACCTGCATTCATCTGCTAGTGTTCCTACACTGGTCAGATTCACATATTGGAATACCGTTTTCTCTTTAGTAATATGTAATGCCGTTACATACAAAAATGTGCGTTCACCTCTAAGATTAAATAGTAATTGTTAAAATGTTTCACAACACTTCTCCCAAATACAAGGAACACAGACAAGGAGAAAACACAGTCACATACTTACAGGCCAACAAAACGCATCTTCCATCAACACAAGACCAGGAAGAACCCCAAAGAAATACATTGGTAGAAGAGACACATCTACACACAACTACTACGTGGTACAGTCATTAATTTCGTGGACTGTAGTTTTATCACATCATATTACAAGGTATTCATATACAGTTACACATATCCATATTGTCGCCCAAAACAGTTGCTGTTGGCCACTGTGCAAGTCTGCCAATGTTGATACAGCTGCCAAAAACACTGCTGAACCATACTGGCAGGAAATTCCTGTACGGCGTCTGTTGTGGCAATGACCACCTCCTCGGACGACTGAAATCTACGACCACGTAGCTTTGCTTTCAAGCGGTAAAAGTGAAAGAAATCGCATGGTGCGAGATCAGGTGAGTACGGAGGGTGTGGCAAAATGGTGACCTGTTGCCTTGCCAGTTCCTCTTGGACAAGAACAGAGCGATGTGCAGGGGCATTGTCGTGTAGCAACAACTAATTCTTCAGACGCCAAACGTTTCCCTAGGGGATTTGCTTAGTTTCTGGCAGAACTTGATGTTTGTCCGTTGTTCAAAATGCCACATTTTCGATTTTCACCACTCGCATTTAACTACAGTATATAATAGAGGCCATAAGTCTGCTTACATTGTTTGCACAAAACTGCCTCTTGCTGTGACAAGAGATGAACTAACAGGACATCATATCGTGCCGCAATCTATCTGCTGTAGTGCACCGCAACAACGCTTTGTGGCCAGTCCACGAAATTATTGACTGTGGTAGTATATCTACACAAAACCTAAAACCTTTCATACATGTTCAATTTTAATTTTAATTACTTAATATTTTAACAAAATAAAATAAAGAAATGGAGACAGCGTGTTTCTCTGAAATTTTGAACTTCTACAAGAGTATATGGCATCACACCTCAAGGATAATACTCTTTCACTAATATATAAATTCCATCTTGTTCATCATACACACTTTTTCTTCTACCCAAATAAATAAAGCAAACACTTTTATATTACAGGAGACATTTTAAAGTAACTGCCAGGGTTAGAGCACTCATACTTTCACTAAAGATGCAAGGATTCAATAATGTATTTTTTATGACATACCACACGACATTCTCATCCTGTACCAGCATGAGTGTTCCGTCCAGAGTCGCTACAGCATATAACGGTGACAAAGAAGAATCTGTATGTCCCATCTTAATACCACCTTGGATCTCTGTTGACACATTTGGGTTAAGCATCCTGGACAGTGTATGGTACTCCACAGACGTAGCTGCCAACATCTCACTGCAAGTTAACACAAAAATCATAACTCACTATTATGAGATGATGATAAGAACTGTTCACAATTAAAGTAAAATTATCAACATATTGAGCTTCTCTGAGCAGTTCAAATGCATTAAAGTAATTTAATTCATTAAATTAATTAATGGTCATTAAAAGACTGCCTGCTTTGAAGGTCACGAAAAGAAATACAAACTAAGCAATCAATCCATCTTTCTACAGAGATGCAGCAATTAGTCATTCCATGAATCAGACACAAATTTGTATAGCTTCAAGAAGATAGGACCATTAATCTCTATGTATTACAGTTTAAACTGCCTCAAGATACTGAAATACGTATAAGCATAAGGACTAGGTTTGCTGTTAGTCATTCTTCCATAAGAAAAGAGACTGCAAAGTCTCCACAAAGAACTACAGGCTCATCAACGAAAATCAAAATATACTGTAACACTCAGTAAACAGATGAGAAGACTTTTAATTATGATACAAAATTTTCCACCTGCTCACTTTATATTTAACAAGTCTGAATCAAAATCAAGATGTTTCTGAATGGTATGCCATCAGTCAAAATGAATGAGACTATGCCTTACTTTACAGTCCTGTTCAATAATACAAAAAAACGAACAAACGAGCTCCATGGTCTTAGTCCACAAGCGAAGTATACCGACCGAGCGACCAACACTTGCCAAGGAAGATGCCGTTGTGCAACCGGGTCAAAGGACGGAAGAGGCAGTATAGGGGCAAGAAGCAAGCTGCAGAGCGACGCGAGGAGCCAAAGGAACTGACCGGAGGAATCTGTGGATCCCAGAGGAAGTTGGCTGCCACCTGCAGGAAGGTGTCCCGCTGTGCAACAGTGGCACGATGTAGGAGAGATGCCTTCAAGAAAGAACGGACCCAAAATTAGGATGGGTGCCAGAAGAAATGTGTTACCGCTCCCGGAAGGATGACCCGCCGTGCAGGAGTGCCACAGCACAAGGGACAATTCTGCATTGCCAGGAATCAAACCCAGGCCATCCAGGCTGTAGCCCGTCGGTGAATGGAAATCACAACAAGTCATGCTTACCTGTTCACTGTACCTTCTTCTTCACTTGTGTGGCAGCGAATCTTCATCAATGTGCCACCAGGTTGAGCTACTAACAGATATGTTGTGCCATCATGCAAACGGTTCAGTGTCACAGTACCAATCTGGTTGGCACATTCCCATTTGTGTAGCCCAATCAGTTTCCCTCTCCCAGGCTCGTCTGAATCAGCAACCCAACGGTATGAACGCACAACACGGTCTGTTAATCCCATCACCATCTCTGTACATCCGTCCCCATCTATATCTCCCAGGAGTACAACCTGCAAGGAGGTTACATATATACAAAGGGCAGACAAAATAATGGAAACACTAACAAATTAAGAGAATTTGTCTGCATTGGCTACAATGAAAGAACTTCAGTTGGCAACACTGAATGTTCTTTTTCTGTTTGTTTACATTCTGTAGCGCTCGTGTCAGTGCATTAGTGACCGTGTTGAGTGACAGTCTGTGTGAAAGCATAGGAAAATGGGCGATTTGTCTGATTTTGAAAGAGGACAGACTGTTGGCACATTTAGCTGGAGCATCTGTGATAAATGCTGTCACATTATTAGGTGTATTGAGAGTGACATTTTCTAAGGTTATGTTGGCATACACAAATCATGAGAAGTCAACATCAGCAAAGAGGAAGAGTGTGGCCAAAAATCAACACTGACAAAAAGAGATCGTCCCACATTGAGAAGGACTGGTTTGAAAAATCACAGAACTACTGCACAGGTGACAGCAGAATTGGATATTCATCTTGAAGATCCAATTTCAACAAAAATTGCCCAATTCAGAAATCCAATATCCATGGTAGGGCTGCAATTGCTACACCTGTGATTACTGAAAGTAATGCTTAGATATGTACGAAGGGGGACCCAAAAATAACCGGAAACGACCTGTTGCGCACGCATGCTTTGTAGTTACGAGTTGTGCTGTTAGGTGGTGTTAGCTGGGGGTCTCCCGCGACTGTTAGTGAGCTGGCGTCAGTCTGAGTTAAGTGGTTTGTCTGTGGTGCTCTGTTTTGTGCGTTCCTGTTTCAACCCTTTGGCGATTAGTGAGATGGCCGACCAGAAGGAACAAAGAGTGTAAGTGAAATTTTGCTTTCTGTTAGGGAAAACTGCACTTCACTCTTCAAGTCGCGGCAAACATTCACGTGGTTTTCTCTTTGGTCATCTCCGAGCAAGCGAGGAACAAATTTTGCAGACACCCGTCTCATGTGCAAACCTTCGGTTAAAATTCGCTGGACCGTGCTCCATGAGATGTTCGTTTCCTCAGAAAGTTGGTCAATGGTCTTTCGATGATCTTCATCAATTTCAGGCACTCTCTTTGTTCCTTCTGGTCGGCCATCTCACTAATCGCCAAAGGGTTGAAACAGGAATGCACACAACAGAGCACCACAGACAAACCACTTAACTCAGACTGACGCCAGCTCACTAACAGTCGCGGGAAACCCCCAGCTAACACCACCTAGCAGCACAACTCATAATTACAAAGCATGCGCGCACAACAGGTCGTTTCCAGTTATTTTTGGGTCCCCCCTCGTACACAGTGGTGTCATGACCATAAAACCTGGATAGCAGACAACTGGAAACGAGTGCATGATACGGTCAGATGAGTTGTCCTTCACACTGTTCCCTACATCAGGAAGAGTTTATATTTGGCGAAGACTCAAGGAAGCCTACAATCCGGAATACCTGGTTCCAACAGTGAAACACAGGGTAGGTTCTCTGACGGTTTAGGCAGCAATATCGTGTTACAGTATTCTGTTGGTCCCATTATGACCCTTCATGGCCAAATCACTGCAAGGATATACATGGTCACTTTGGGTAAGCAGATGCATCCCATGATCCAGACATTACCAAAAAATAATGCGGTTTTCCAAAACAACAATGCCCCCATTCACACAGCTGGAACTCTTCAGTCATGGTTTGAAGTACATGAAGGTGAACTTCAACAACTTCCCTGGCCAGCACAATTACCAGACTTTAACATCATTGAACCACTCTGGTCTGCTTTCGGAGACTAGAGTGAGGAACAAATTCCCACCTCAAACATCTCCAAAGCAATATGAAGATGTTCTTCAAGAAGAATGGTATAAAATTCCAATAGACTGTTCAAAACTTGTATGACTCTATTCCACGAAGGGCTGCAGCCATATTGAAGGAAAAAGGTGGTCCAACACCACATTAATAGAGAAATGTGTATAGTGTCTGTATTGTTTCCGTTAGTTTGTCCAACCCGTGTATATGTATATAGACAGTTACTGAAGAATACTGTATTAGCTTGATGTGCACAATCAGAAACACAGTAAGACATGATTGGTTGATGTATGGGTTAGATTTATCATATGCATGTGTTTGAACGCACGCACACGTGAACACACACATACACACAGATATTTAATAATGGTTTCAGAAAAGCAAAAAAAAAAAGTTGTTCATATCGGGTTTAAACAGTGGTGACTATGGTGAGTTTTATCTATTGGGATAAGAAATTGCACAGTCTGGAGAAAGCCAATTGACATTTTGGAGGAATGTAACATCTACACCTTCAGAAGCAAAAAGCCAGCAGAACACATCAGACTTGGTATTATATCTCAGACGTCAGAACTCTTCAACTTCTGGTTGGTTCATATACATACCATACAACAGGGCACTGACTCAGCACTGTATTGCACAACATAAGCCCATAAAAATCACTCCAGGTGACAGAAAGAAGTCCCATGGATTATGTGACTGAAGTTAAAGTTAATCTTTCAACTTATCATTCAACTTACTTTGGTATTGGCTGGAATTCTCTGAACATAAACAGACTCTAACTTTGCTTTCTTCTGATCCACAGCATCATCTTGCTTTGGTTTAAACAGAATGTGACACCACCCATCACCACCCACAACAACCAGAGCATTACTGCCAATATTAAAAATGTCACCAATACCTAAGGCAGTGATCATGCCTAGTCCTGTAAATTTCTGCCACATCCGGTCACTTTTAAAGATGGATAGTTCACCGCTCATGTTGCCAACAACAAGTTCATTGTTTCCATCATTATCCACATCATCTATAGACAGGGCGCTTGGAAAAACTGCTCCATTCAAATCAAATTCAAACCTCTTCACAAAACACACTGCACGCATGTTTCTGTTATATGTCACACATATATTCACAATCATGACATATTTACTGGTTTTCTCCCTCTTGGGATTTCAGGTTTTAAAGTCTGCCAACGATGTGGGGGCCAGACAATGAAGGTTGCTTTTGCAGTCACGAGGCCTAAAGATACTGGTCCAAAAGAGTTTGAATCCATAGAATGTCCCGTATGATCACCTTCAACCCAACAATGTCCTTCTGGTACTCGAATAAATGATTGTTTATATCCTATTGTTGATATCAGGTCACCTTCTATTCCAACAACTCTTTTGATGATTTTCTGGCCTGGATCTTTGGGAGAAACCAAAGATACAACTTCTCCTCGTGATATTTCACTACTTCTAACTGACCACCTATTCAAAAGAACATAATCTGTCACCGGTGCCTCCGGATTAAGGGCGGGTTGCATTGAAATACCTTCCACTCTTGCAACATATCCCACAGTATCCAGGAAAGTTATTCCAATAGGAATTCCTACCAGAAATGACTTAAACAAAGCCGTAAGTTTCATATGCAAAGAAATTTTAAAAAAAATGCAGAATTTGTACAGATCACATTTACGTTATAGTAATTAACGCTCAAAGAATGATGCCTCCATTAAAACGTTTAAAAGCACTATCAGAATGACTCTGCTATTCATTACCGTACACTACGATCTTAAATTAAATCACGCCACTATGACCAGCTGTAGGCGCGGACCGCCACGGACCGCAGGAATACATTATTACCAACAAATATTAATTTCCTTGACTACCAACTACTAAACAGGTCTCTACTCTCTCAGCATCACAATCATCACAATGATCCTTCCAGTAACTACTCAAACGATTGAAACGGAGCTGGGAGGCGGGATCGGGATAGCGTAGTCCGTATAAGGACTGGCTTCGGGTTACAAGTTCGAGAGGTCGGAGTTCGAGTCCCGATTGGGTCAAGAATTTGTGTCTTCTGCAACGGGAGTAAAGCGGGCGGGGCGTGAAGCTGACCACTCATATCCAACTAGTGCCGAGGTCAAGAAAAATGTGAATCATGGAATCATGAATCGATCATGTATAATGATCCATGAATATAAAGTAAATAAATAAATTACACTCATTTCCCCATATGCCTTCACGGCGTAGTGCTTAATTAGTAAGCAGGAGGACAACTTCACCTCTTTTGTACTCGATTCAGTTTTGCCTTAATAATACTGACATATGACGACAGGAAATCATGAGTGTACAGGACAATTAATTTTAAAATCAATCGTTTTTGGTGACAAAGGATTATGCTTACACACATTTCAATTTAACCATGTAAACAACAGTTTTTTTAATTTTATGAGGCATTTCAACCGTTATACGTTTATACTGATAATGAAATAATTACTTCGAGCCCGTCGTTAGAACAGATGCAAAACTATGCTGGATTATTGTAAAATATTCAGTATATCATTCTACGGACAGGAGTGAGAACGGGATATTTCTCCTTCAGGTAGGGAAACAACACCGCTGGTGGGGTGTAGTTGGCTACATGAAATGTTATGGTTACGTAACATGTCTGCGCTTTTCTTCAAATAGGGAAGTAGTAGTTGTTTTTCTTTTCACAATTTTAATTTGCCTGTGGGGACCGTAGGGACTGAGGGAACCGGTAGAATGCCTCAGAGTAGCCGAGCTCAGGACAAGGAGAGTTAAGGATATGACAGTCAAGAAATCCGACGGGTGTTTTTTTTTTGTCCCAATTTCTAGTGGGGTGGGACTACGTTCCTTGTATTGCGGCCATTTCTGGTATCTGTAGGGTTGCTGTATTTGGAAAATCATACTTGGAGATAATATAGTGATATGATATGAAAGCAAGCAAAAAAAAAATATGGCTTTCTTGTATGCAAGAGGATTTCTCGAACCCCTTCAACTAGTTAAACTCCCAGGGAAGATTTTGAATTGAAGTCCAAAGGTTGGTTCTATCCATTGCAAATTTTTCAGCTCTGTTCCAAGAGCAATGAGTAAGAAATATTAATGCTGTCCATTTGTAGATGATTTCAAGCAAATAATTGTGTGTGCAGAATCTTGAATGATACTTTTTGGATATGTTCCTGCTGCTGAGCGCATGGATATGAGGCCAAAACAGCTTCAAATTTCTAGTTTCCTAGCCAGATTCTACATGTATTAATAATTTGTTTAGTTTCTGACTCACTAAATCACCGTCATTGAACAGAACTTTGTGAAATGACAAACTATTCCTGCACTAGACTACTTCCATTAAAAATGATTGACCTTTTGAACAGTATCCATCATCCAGTTTTCACTTAACATGTTGGAAACACAGGCAAGTCTCCAAAATGTTGTTTTAAGTCAACAATAAAATAGTACAATGGACAATGTCCAAAAGTCAATGCTTAACATATATTTGTTGGAAACATCTAGGTTTTATCTGTTTCCATTGTAATAAGGTAAAGGTAAAATTATCCCTGTGCTTAGTTAAGCACTATGCCATGAAGATATGGGCCAGTGGAGGTACAGCTCCACCATTCATCACCTCAGCACTAGACGGAGGTAAGTGGTCAGCTTCATATCCCTGCTGCTTTATCAGCAGGAAAGGAACCTCCACTACCCATTGGATAGGAGGCTGGGTGGGCCCCATAACTGGCCTGGGCAATGAGGACTTTTCCTTACTGTTCCACCGATAATCAGTCACTATACCCACTGCACTATCCTGGCTCCTTTTCCATTGTAAACAATCCCCCCAAAATTAAACCAGAATAGTGGATGCTACATCTATAGTAATACAGTTCTCATTAATTATTCCTTAAGCAACTTATCCAGATACAGTACTGAACAGCTTCATTTACAGCAAGCACGTCAAGCATGGTGCCAGGATCATTTAAGTCTTCACTGTACAGATTAATTAAGAGAGTGAATGCATGGAGGTAAGTCAAACTTTTCTGTTATCTACAGGTCTTTGCTGTCCATATGTGAGGGTAGTCTTAAAGCTAGTTGCACAGGCTTGGAGTGGGAAGACAGGCAGACAGGTGCGAGCAGCACCTCATGCATATGTGCTGTACAGTTTTGTTATACCGCATCCCATACTGGTTTTAGCACTCTCCTCACTTACTGTACTCTTCAGGTTTGTTCCAAACAGAAAACCTTAGTTCTGTCATGCACAATCAGTCATTAGTAACAACAACCAAGCTGAAAAATTTCATTTGTGGCAGATATACATCAAATTCTGTCTGGCCATCTAGTTCAGTTTGGTTCATTTTAAGGAACACTATGCAGGGTCCAAATGAACTTTTATATGCATGTTTTTTTAAATTCTATGACAGTTCTTGATACATGACATTTCTGTTAAATAAGTATTATCCACATTAATTCATTTGAAGTCAAAATACCTTTACATGATTTGGGGGTGGGGGCTGGGAGAGATTTCGATGACACTTGAAAATGTAAGTATTATTATGTACCAGTATTATTCATTCCTTTTATATGGCCTGTTACTAATGGGGCCAAATATATTTTTTGGACACCTTAAGTATTCAGCTGAGAGAACTGTCTCAAATAAACTTTTTCAAAAGAACTCAATCAACTACATGTTATATTTCTATAAAAGGCAGTGAGTGTATAATAATTAACATATGAGGTGTTATTGGAAAGTTCCCAGACTGTTATTGTAACTGTCTCGGTGAAAGAGGAGAGAGGAGGCCAAGGTCACATGTCAGAAAGCCGATTGCATCAGTCTGCCACATGACAGCGCGCTGTGAACACAGATTGTTTTTATACAGGAGCTTTTTTAACTTTGTATTTAATTTTGTCTGTGATGGATGGCAAAACCGAGCACGTCTGCATCAAATTTTGCGCAAACTCAGTAAATCCACTACCAAAAACCCTTGAAATGCTTTGTGAGGCTTTCGGAGAACATTCTTTAAGTTAGACGGCAATTTCTGAATGACATTCACGTTTCAAGGCTGGTTGAGTGTCAGTTGAATAAGACATTCAGGCGACCAAGCACGAGTAACATGACAGAAAATGTTAAAAAAATCGAGAACTCATCCATGAAGACCATCACCGAACAATCCATGAGCTCCCAGACACTGCGAGGATCAGTTATGGAGTCTGCCAGGAGTTCTTAACAGAAAATTTGAACATGCACCACACTGCTCCTTCATAACAATGCACCCACCCACACATCCCTGAAAACCACAGAGTTTGTGACTAACAACAACATGGTTATCATTATGCATCGTCCCTACATGCCACACTTAGCCCCCTGTGATTTCACTTTGTTTCCCAAATTGAAAATGAAACTGAAGGGATGCTATGAAAAAGTGACATCAAGAGGAAATCACAAGTGGTACTTGACAGCATTAAGGAAAATGACTTCCACGGTGTTTTTGAAATGTGGAAAAAATGATGGGATCGCTGTTCCCATGGAAACTATTTTAAAGGAGATGATAGCCAAAATTGGGTAAGTTAAGCCAGCATTTTTTTTTGATCTAGCCTGGGAACTTTCTGACAGTACCTATTAAGTGCACACTGTCAAAATTATTATCCACCCTCTCACCATCACTGCCACCTGTCTGATGTCTACCGAATCCACATTGTACTATAGGGATATATATTTTGAGGGCAAACATGATATGAAAATGAAATAATCCATTTTAATTCTTGAAACTGACAAAGTTAATAGAAAGTCCGTCGAGTGTAACAATTTGTAGGTCACTTTTTATTATTATTTCTGCCTTACATGTTTCGGTTTGACACAACCATCATCAGAGGCACTTGCTATAATTATGGAAACACTGTCGCTTTTTTTTTTGATGTTCACAATTATGTTTGTCGTGTGGATGCTGCTACGATATGTTGACGTGTAAAAGCACAAAACATGCTAAGATAGTTGAGTACACTCTCAAGTTCTCACTTTTCATCCGAACCTATTTTTAAGTTAAAACGCTAAAATGTTAAAATATTTGATATAAAATGCTGAACTCCTCCTTGTTAATTCATCCCNCTTTGTGATTGATAGTGTAACGGACCAAAATGAAACAATTAAAAAAAAATCTTGAAACTGACTTCCTGAAATGCCTTGGAGGGTATCATATCACACAGTTTGAAATAATGGGATTTTCATGGCTGTTCTCTTGCCTAGTTTGTTTAACCCTTTCACTGTTTGAAAGGAGCAGGGCTGCTCTACTGAAAGGCAAGCAGGGTGCTAGGGGTGGAACTGTTCTGTATTAGTGTGCTGTACTAGAGAAACTACACATGAAAAAAAATTTATCAGGCACAAATGATGTTTGGATAAAGACAGCTGAGGTATTTTTCTTCTCAAATCAAACTGAAATTATCTGGTATTGAACAGTTCTGTCTTCTAGGATTGTACAGTGCTGTGTAGTCTTGCGAAGGTCAATCGACATTCTGGAGGAACACATTGCAGTCTGCAACCCTGCTTAATGTTGGTTTCTTACTTGGCTTACTCTTCAGCTCTGAAGATGTTCCTCTTAAACATCAGTTGATTTTCGCTGGACTATATGGCACTATCACAAAAGATATAACTCCTCATAACCACTACTGTGAGGTCCTCAAATGTTACATTTGTGGTACTGGTTTGCAATAATTACATTATCTTGGAATGTCTGGTTCAGCTTGATTTTTTGTTATGAACTTGATTCACAGGATATATTATACCACATGCATGATCATTCCAGTAAATTACTGGATGAAAACAGTTCTGAAACATGATTAACACAACAGGACTCACTCACTCATGGAGCTGAGCCCTTCTTGAGAAGCCGCCAATTGGGCAGCTACTCAAGAACATCCCAGCATTTTACGGAACCTGATGGTTCATTACCATGTTCACAATAGCCCTCCACTGGTCCCTATCCTGAGACAGATCAATCCAATCCATACCATCCCATCCTATCTCTCTAAGATCCATTTTATTATTGTCCACCAACCTATGCCTTGGTTTTCCCTGTGGTCTCTTTCTTTTGGCTTACCCACCAATATCCTATATGCAATCCTCCTCTCTCCCTTTCGTGCTCCATGCCCTGCCAATCTCATCCTCCTTGTCTTGATTATTCTAATTATGCTTGGTGAAGCATACAAGTTATTAAGCTCCTCATTATGCAGTTTTCTCAAACCTCCTGTCACTTCATCTCTCTTCGGTCCAAATTTTCTTCTCAGCACCCTGTTCTCATACACCCTCTGTCTATGTTCCTCCCTTAATGTCAGAGGCAAAGTTTCATACCAGTACAGTACCATGGGCAAAATTATAGTGTTGTATATTCTAATGTTTGTTTTCAGGCATGAGACAAGAAGGCAAAAGGTTCTGGACCGAATGGTACTAAGCATTACCCAAGTTCAAGCTCCTCTTAATTTCCTCCTGAATCAGGTTTTGATTTAGGTCGTTCCCAAATATCTGAACTGTGCTATATTTTCAAAACATCTATTACGTATCTTTATGTCCTGATATTTCCCTGCATTTTCATGATGAGATAGCAACATATACACGCAACAAGACTGGGATACACAATAAAAATGTACTTGGTATGCACAGTTTATATACACCTTAATAATTAAATGCTGAGTACTATAAAGTGGCCAGTCTTAATTAATTTTACTTCTCCACATGACTTAATTTTCTGCTCACATGTGCAGGAATGTGGAGACACTTTTATTTTTATTGGTGCACTTTGTAAAACATAAAAAAGATGTAGGGAATATGGACTGTGCAAATGAGCATTTCCTACAGAATCCATGCGTTATGTTGAAGAATAGAACAAAGTGTCACAGTATCAGTGTTGTATTACTATACAGTATTTATAGAATGGATACATAGCTGCTGCAACACAGCTCCCTTCCAGGAAGTAAATATGACATTGGAATTCACTAAAACAAGTACAAAGAAAGAGTCATTTTCCAAAGGAAACATACAAACTACAGTAATTTACTGACACTACAACAAGATAATCATTACCGTACACTCCCTTCCAAACGCTCCTAATAAAAAAAAATATGTCTTTTAGTTTATTTTCTTCAGTGAAAGCACACTGTTGAAACAGAGCTTATTTACAAAAATAAAATCCCACTACATTTCAGAAGTTAACTCCTTTACTTATATATGGCAACCAGTTACAATTCACATGTTGAAAGACCCTGTAGCAGCAAGCTGAGATTAAAATTCTTGATACCAGTGAAATTACACAGTCCACCATCTCAGAGCTACATTGTACAGGTCCCGGAAGAACATCCCTGCAGAACGTGCATGATGTAGATGCACTTACGGACACTTAAAACAACACTTCCATGCCTAACAAGAGTAACTTGAAATTATAGTAATGTGCATGTTTAAGTGTAACTGCACCTACTATACAAAATTTGTGAGTGGCTGGTAGTGATGTATCACAAGTTTCATAAATTGTGGCCGCCTATTTTCACTTCATTAAACCCAACTTCTTTGCTTCTATTTCATAGATTAGTAACCTCCACATCTTCACAACAAACACCTCTGCCTCCTCGTCTAGAACCTACAAGATGAAACAACACATTAAAATTGTTACTGCACCATACTTTCAATTATCCTGGATAACAGGGGAGAAAAAAATATGGACAAACACACTAATCTCAATTCCTTTAACTCACACATCACTATTACAATTACAGCAATTAGAAGTACAATGCAAGGGTAGCACAATGCAGTGTCATAACAGAATTTAGGTAACATGGAGCTCGGGAATATATACACTTCTGTTTACAAATCAGCAGGGCCACAATCTGAATATGAAGCTATTCAATGAACAGTCACGGTATTATATGATAATGAGTTTAGCTGTAATGAAACAAGCAGTGAAAGACTGTTCGAGGTGAGGGCTTACTGCAGTCCTATGGCAATAATGTCAAAAATGATTAAGTGCTTAACTAATAAAACACCATGTCAGCACCTCGGCACTAGATGGAGGTGAGTGGTTTGCTTCACACTCAGACCACTTTACCCTCTGTAAAGAGTGCCAGCAAGCACTGCACAAGGTCGCGCCATAGCTCATGCGGTTAGTTGCTGGCTTCCCACCGTGGCGGCTCGGGTTCAATCCTGGGTCTGGTCAAGTGGGATTGGTGGTGGACAAAGTCGCGCTGGGGCAGGTTTTCTCCAAGTACTTCAGTTTCCCTTGCCAATCTTCATTCCGGCAATTGCTCCACAATCACCCTCACCTATCATCTGGGGCTGGTACAATAGGCCAGAAGTGGCCGCAGTATAAGGGACTTAGTCCCACCCCACTAGCAACAAAAAAAAAAATCACTGGACAGGAAGCTGTTTGGGCTCCAGAATCAACCTGGATGTTGCACAGGTCCCTGCCATGAACTGAACCCAAATTCCTTGGCTATCCGGCCTGTAACTTGTCACTATACTGACTGAGCTACCAGGCTATAGCCATAATGGATGATCACGTTAATACATCTTTGGGTCATGCTCTCTTGTAACAATACCATAAGTGTGTTTTTGTATGTCTGTGTTACATTATTCTTATAACTACCAAAAGTGCTGTCATAACAACTCACCATCTGCACATCATCCAGTATACCTTGTGGTGCACTTCCTGCTAGAACCTTAGAACAGATGAAGTCGACTAAGGTAGGTTCTGGCTCGCCAATGTACTCTATGATTTTTTTATTAATCCATGGTCGTATGCGCCTCTCCATTAGTTGCTGTAAATGTATGTCAGAACATGCAATAATGATCGCAATACCTTCAGATGTTGAAGGGGATTGATTCCCCCACTAAATTATGTTTGATGTGAAAAAACTGAATTACAGCATAAAATCATACTGAGTTCCTCCTACCATTTCAAACTTAATATAAAATAATTTTAATCCTGAGGCATGTTAAAATAAATTGACCAAAAAGAAAAGGCTGGCATATCTGTTAACAGTTTGTGAATGCAATTACTTTTATTAAGCCATTGTGTTAAAGCAATTTGTTACTGGGAATGACATGCCCCCCCAAGAACTTGAACTTACCTATCACAGCACTGATACTGTACTCTTGTTGAGCTTGCATATCCATAGCTGCAGGAACATATTTACTGAGTCACTGCCTAGAAATGGCTCTACACGCTACAGTACTTACATTGTCTACAGCAGCCCAGTCCAACTGGAAGGCAAAGAGAGCAGCTTTCTCTGTTGGAATTTTCTCTATGAGTGTTTTGATGTGTTTTCTCTTCTCCTCCTGAGATTTTGTTACCTCTTCCTTCTTCTCCTCTTTCTTCTTCTTTTCTTCACCATAATCTGTAATACAAGCATCATACTAAAATCCTAAATTGCTCAAAGTGCAACATTTAGTAAGAGAGACCTCTTCTGAATAGAGAAGTTAGGGTTTTGTCAACATAAGGAAGAACCTGTATGTAAGAGGGGAAAAATGTAAAACTCTACTTGTAACAGGCTGTGGAGTCCTGTGGGGTTGTGAGATGTCAAGGCTCCCACATTTTCTAGACAAGCTGCTCACAGATGATGGTGAGGGCATCAGCCTTATGCACTGGCCGCCCTCTACACCCCGGGAATATTCCTGGTATTCATTTCAGAGGCTGAGTCGACCCCAGAGCCATAGTGCAGATGGAAGGATTGGGTCAAGTCAAACCCGTGACCTGACTGCACTCATTTTAATTAATTTATAGTTTATATAAAGACATTCTTGATAGCTCGGTTTATATACGGTTGAATGACAGCCTGACCTAGTGAATAATGGAATAAAAAAGATATCAAAGTGGTTGGTGCCTCTTTTGAGGTGTTTGAATTGGGGGACTGAGAAAGAAAAAAGAAGAAAAATCTGGTATTTAAATGTGGGACCTCCTGAATATAAAGTAGAAATACTACTGACTTGACCATATTGTTTTATCACAATGACAATAACACTGAAACTGATACTACTTTTAAACTCCTCAATGACAAGTGTCTGCAGTTAAAGCAAAGGTAATCTGCACAACTTCCTAGCCTTCGAATGGGACAGGCAGTCCAGTATCTGTACAAGGGCAAACATATGCAGTACCCAATGGATACAAAGCTGAGTGCACCTCAGGATCATGTGCAGCTATAACACTGAGCTTTCATGAAGTCATCTGTTACAGATACACACAAGATTCCTTTCAAGAGTTTTCTGATCAGAGGGATAGCTGTAATGTTTTTTTTTTTTAATTTCTTACAAAACTGCCAAAATTTTGAACATTCTCTTTTGGCTGTGGGCACATGGTAGTGTAGTTGGTTCAGGCACTATATCACAAGTGGAAGGTCATCGGTTTGCATTTTGATGAGGTGGATTTTTTCAATTTACCTAGTCCTTCCGGCCACATTATGGCCCCGGGGCTGACTCAGCCTCTAAAAGAAATAAGTACTGGGTATCTTCCTGGGGGGTGAAGGGCGGCCTGTGTGTAAGGCTGACAACCTTACTGCCATCTGTGAGCCAAATGCCTAGAGAAAATGTGGGAGCCTCAGCATCTTACAACTCCATGGGCCTTCAGGGCCTGTTACAGGGATAGCTTTACCTTTTTACTTTTTTTTTTATCTCTTTTGTCTAACATCACTAAAATTCCATATTTTTATCAAAACCAGTATATAGGAAAGCAGAAAGACGAAACAAAGTATTACATAGCTGAGTGGCTGCACAAAGAGAGTTCACGTTATGAACTGCACTTTCAATTAAATATTTTTTGGCTGTCAACTGTGTCGAAGTGGAAAGAATTTCCAACATTTCAAACACAGTGAATGTTTGAATTGGAGATCCATTCCTTCTTGACACAGCTGATTGCTCAAGAATACTTCAATGCATTTACTTCTCATGTTACCTGTATGAAACATGGTAAAAGGGAGCTTTCTCCTACAACCTCAGACTTACAAGCTTTCCCTTGCAATATCCACAGCATGCATATATATGTAAATACCTTGTTCAGAGATTTGACAATGCAACTGTCCCTCACTGGTTCAACCAACTGCATGAAAACTGTCTTATACAAGGTGAGATTTCTTTGTTTCGAACCGTCCCATTACTTTTAGAAGACGTGTCCCACTCATGTGACCAAAACTTTACTTACAGTGACCTCCACAACCACAGTTCAGCATGAAAAGATGAACCACTTTCTGAATGACTTCAGCCGCACAGCAACAAAGAGGTTAGCATGCAGTGGGGTGAATTTGTAACATAAGTTTGTTGCTAATTACTCTATTGGTTGCTTTAACATGCAACTGTTGAGTGAAGCTGGTTTCAATGACTGGCTGCATGCAATCAGCTGTGCGGCAGTCTGAGAGATCCAAGTTATACACACTTATGGAGCACCATAGCTCAAGCGCTTAGTCACTGGCTTCCCACCGCGGCGGCCCGGGTTCAATCCTGGGTCTGGTCAAGTCGGATTTGTGGTGGACAAAGTGGCACTGGGGCAGGTTTTCTCAGAGTACTTCGGTTTCTCCTGCCAAACTTCATTCTACCAAATTCTCCATCATCATAATCACCTGGGATAGGCTACAATAGGCCAATCAGTGGCCACCGTGCCGAGTGGACCCAACTGGACTTCACCGCCCCACTAAGCGAATTAAAAAAAAAATTAATTATACACACCTAGAGGAACAAGCTTTCTTTTCTTGCCAGAACCAAGATTGCTGTCATCATCATCATCCGTATTGAAAACCTCCTTCAAATCCAACTTTTTCTTCTGCTTTCCAGGTGGTGGGGCTGCTGTTGTTGGACCAGGTGTGCTTGGTTGTTGTTGCTGCTGTTGTTGTACAGGCGAGTTCCAAATCTTTATCACTGCATCAACACATCAGGAAAGAAAATATGCAGTACTTACAACTATTCACAAGGAAAATTAAGATTCCACTCAGTTTTTAAGGCAGTATTCTGTTATGATACATGAAGTAAAGCAAGAAAATGGGACTTGGCTAGACAGTATGTGTTTTCTGTTAGGCATACATCAATACAGGATATCCTCAATTAGATGAACTAATTGGGGTGGCGAGATTGTCGAACATGCACTAAATCCAAATGTCTGTATTCCTCACAAACACATGTGATGGATACTGATGATTGTAACTTTACAATCTGTTCTAACTTTTGTTTTACACTTAAGTCTGTCCTTTTTCTTTTGTTTAATTAAAAAGACTTTAACACTGAACAAACCACACACACCATAACACAAATTTCATCTGCAACAGAATGATCTATGTACTAGATATGCATTACGTTCACAGAGTGATTGACGAAGTACACATACACAACATACGAACCAGACTATTACGGGGAAGTGCCAACATATAAAATGGAGAAAAATGGGGAAGTACAGAAGAATTTCATCCATTAAATCAAGGATTTGCTGTATTGTATAATAAATTAAAGAATAAGATGAGAAAATATGATGCTTAAGTGGAAAGTTATATTTAAAATCATCTCATTTTCTAAGAAATCAATCTTTGTGTCAAGAGTGTTCTAAGCAGAGTCATGAATCTATGTCTGGAAACAGGGGTGGTCACAACAACACACATAGGTGATCATGTACACAAACAGTATCATGTTGAGAAATTTAGACAAATTTGCCAACTTCTCTGAGATCTATTTATGTAACTGATACGTTTAACGGAAACCAACCTGCTTTTTCCTCACCACCACTCGATACAACGGAAGTCTGACTCTCCTCTTCTGCACCAAGAGGATGGTCGTGAGTGGCCACGGGGCTGGTGAACTGATCTGCACCCCTGTCATCATCACTCTCCTGTGTGCTCTCCGTTGGTTCAGGTGGCGGTGGGGATGAGATCATGGCTGCTGCCTGTTGCTCAAACTCAGCTGCCTGACGCTCCAATTCCTCTTCCTCTTCCTTATTCTGCCGCTCACGTTCTCGTTCACGCTCCCTCTCTCTTTCACGTTCTCGTTGACGGCTATGTTCCAGTTTCACATCAATAAGGATCTTTGGCTTATACTGCTCTTCCCTTTCTTGTTTCATCTGTCCGACACACATTAGCATACTTCAGAATAAATATGTAAGTGACGCTGACCATACTTTTTTGAGCCGTTAACAGCTGAAGTTACTGCTAAGTATATACAATGTATATAAGATGGGACCCAATTTTACATGTTTAAGGACATAAAAGGCATCTCACATGAGGACTCTGAATCATTTAGCATATCTTTCACACATTGAGAATTGACTCTACACTTCCAGTATTATCCAAGAAGAGGAAGAAAAAAATGATGACCATGAATTACACTTACTCGCTCAAATTCTGCACTTGGATCATCATGCTCCTCTGAGAAAATTTTAGTTTTCAGCTCCTCCAACTCCTCTTTCTCTCTCTGACGGTCACGTCCATCTTGTTCAATCTCTTTCTCTCTTTCTGCCAGCCTTCTCTGCAGTTCACGCCCCCTGACATACACACCACCACCACATTCTCATTAAAATTAAGAGCAGGCATAGCTTGCAGCTATACAAAGCATCTGGACCACATTTCAAAATTTAATCATCAATGAACATGACCAGAGAGACATAAGTCAATAGATTCTTTGATTCTCTGATCATTTAAAGGTGCTATATCAGTTGTAACACTATGCAACATTTTTTTTTTTAAGTTGATCATTTAATGATGCTGTCAGTACTGAGACCATATAGTGTTGGTGACAGGAAGGTAAAAGTAAAGTTGTCCCTGTGCTTAATGAAGTCATACTGGGGAGTGGATGTACAGCTCCACCATTATTGACCTTGGCAGTAGATGGAAGTGAGTGGTCAGCTTCATGCCCCGGTCACTTTACCCCTGGGGAAATCACACTGGTGCCCATTGGATAGGAGTCTTGGTGGGCCCCAAAGCCAATTTGGATGCTATGGAGAAGAGAAAAATCTTGTTCCTACCAGGAATTGAACTCAGGCCATCCAGGTCATAGTCTATCGCTATACCAACTGAGCTATTAATGAACATGTACCAGCTGGTGGAATGAGAACTGGCAGGGACAACCCAAGTACTCACACAATCTGCCCTACTGCCAATATGTGCACAGCATATCCCACATGACCTGATCCAGGACGGGACCTATGCCACCATGGTGGGAAACTGGTGACTAACTTCGTGAGCTATGGGATGGCCATAACACTGACTGGTTGGTCATTCAGTTATTTTATAATTCCAAATGAGGCTCTGACAATAGAAACATTGAATGAGAGCTGGCAAAGAGATCACAAAGGATATGGAATGAAATGGGATCAAGTGGTCAGTGGTTACCAAAGGCAGCATCTGCCATTTGCATTCAGAGACTGAGGAACAACTGGTTCATGGATGGATCATCAGAATTCCCTCTAAAAGAGACAAATGCATGAAGGTCAGGTGGTCCTGTTGGTGGCAAATTTAGAGATGCAGCAGAAAAACAAAGGTGCCCACTGATGTAGAAAGACAAACAGAATGAAAACTACGGGCACTTACTTATAGTATTTTGCATCGTCACGTTCATCATCATAATCCTCCAAAAACTCTTTGAGTCTTTTGGCTTCTCGCTCCCGATCCTCTTCTTTTAATCTTTCTCGTTCTTTCTCCTTCTCATGTTCCTTTGCCTTGCGACGTTCCCTTGCCTCCCAGTCTCGCAGTCGCTCCTGCAAATGCACACAGTATTCAACACTTCAGCTGAAACAGCAAAGGAGATCTCCGGAGCACCCTTACACAAAATTTGAGACAACAGAACATCAGTTACATATACAAATTAGCTTTAACCATTATACAGCCCAGTGTTTGACCAAATGCTTTAGAAATTACAAATTTATTTAGAAATGTAAAATCAATTTAAAACATTAAATTATGTTTATCAATACTGGTACAAATATAATCAAATGAAGAGTATTTATGATTATGTGGCCACCATCTATGTTAGCATCTGACCACATTTCAAGGCCATGCAATCACTTCAACCCTGTCATTTGACCAAACAATTTACCCTCATACAATTAAGGGTCTCTATTAGGAAGCATGACTGATGATGAAATGACGTTTCTTAGAGTGTTCCTAGGGGTAAAGGGTGGCCTACACATAGGGCTATCAACCCCACCACATGTGAGCCAAATGTCTAGAAAATGCGGGAGTCTAGATGTCTCACAATCCTACTGGCCTCTGCAGCCTTTTACCAGGATAGCTTTACCTTACCTTTACCATTGCATAGATGATTTTATGGACCAACATGAAATTCTGGTATAGGCAATGAACAGTAAACTTCCAAATGTCCACGCCATAAAACTTAATTTTGGTGAGGAAACATTTTGAGAAATACAGACTTACAACACTGAAGATATGGGAGGATAACATTTACACTGGGCATACAGGTTATAAGGACACGAACTGCCTCTTGTGTGTGTCCAATTGTGGGTCTTGGTAGCTGCAGTGTTAAATATTCTGGTTCTATCACCGGACAACCGCCTCTGTGGTTTAGTGGCCAGCGTTCCTGGCTACAGATCCAGAGGTCCAGGTTCGGTTCCCAGAGCTACCAGATTTTCTCTGAGAAGTAGTGAGTCTGGAATGGGGCGCACTCAGCCTCGTGATGATAACTGAGGAGCTATTTCCAGGAAATAGCAGTTCCGGTCTAGAAAACAAGATTAACGGCTGTGGGGATACATTGCGGTGACCTCGTGACACCCTCTATCCGCAAAAGTTGGCACTAAACTTTGCCAACAAGCGGCGGTCGCTCGGTCGGTATCCTTCGCTTGCGGACTAAAATCATGGAGTTTTTTTCTATCACCGGACATTAGTACAAGAAATCTGTTAATACCCACAAGTCTGTGCTCATTTTGTCTCTTCAACTTTATTCTCCGTTCCTTCACCCATCACTTTAAAAACTAAATCATATTCACATATTCTCTTTTAAAAACATTTTAGCACTGTTTTATGCCCGTTAAGTATAACTTAACCAGCAGACTAATTTTCTTCAACACTATCCATCATTAACCCTTAGGCGCGGTTTGACGTCTCTGTTCATCTTGGGCATTTAAATCGTTGGCTGCGGTTTGACTGCTATGTTGTACAGCTGCAGGCCTAATTTATTACGCCCATAAAAACTGATGGGTTTACTGTATTTTGTGAAATTTTTTGCTGGCCTATTGTCAGAAGTACAGTGCGTATCGTTACGTATGCCTGTCTTGCAGCAAATAGCATGCTGCTTCGAGAAGTTTCAGCACAAAACTCTGCCCTGTATGTTATGCTTCGGAGAAATAAACAGTCGGCTGACCATGTTTGCCTTTATCTACTGATAAAATAAGTTCATATTCCATTCAGCAGGTCATATTACCTTCAGCAGGAAATACCAGACCAACCCATTCATAAAGGGGTGCCCAGAAATGTTGTCTTGCTAGTACACATTATTCGTAATATACAAGGCAACCAGTTCTTAGAATAACGTCAGAGCATTGTGTTCACCCCCCAGTGAGGAAAGAAGAAAATAACTCATACCTACATGTATTATCGCTCTGGCTGGTCTCCAGTGTATGTATATACATCTACTGAAGCCTTGGATGGAAAAATAAATGCGTACACGGGACCCCAGCCATGGTAAGACAATGCTCAAATTTACTGCAGCTGAGGTTGCAAGGATGCCTGACTTCGAAAATTTGAGCATTGTCTTACCATGGCTGGCCCTTCTACAAGTCGTGCGCTGACGGAGGTCTCACTAGTGACTGTGCTGGACGAAGTATTGGACGACGAAACCATAAGTAATTATAGTTCCGATGATGACAGTGCATCGGACTATGATTACACACAACTGGTGCCATCTGAGACCAACAGTGCTAGTGAAAGTGGCAGTGACCATGAGAATATCATGGCCCACGATGGATTGGAAGAGGTGTCCAGGACATCTGTGTGGGAAGATATTGAATCGTTTCACGCTTCGCGAGAATTGTCTTGAGGTGTGTGTGGTCCCAAGTTCGACACTGCCAAACTAGATGTCGTCAGTGCCTTTGAAAGCATTTTCGATATTTCCCTTGTGCAGCTGATTGTTGATGAAACAAACAGGTATGCTCAACAGGAAATATCGAAAAACGCCAAACCTCTCACATTTCGCTCTAGAATTTGGAAGTGGGAAGATGTGACAGTGGACGAAATGTATGTGGTTTTGGCACAGGGCCACAGGAAAGATACTCAGTATTGGTGTGGTAAATGTGAGGCAGCGTTGTGTGTAGAATGCTTCAAAGTGTATCATACACTACTGAAATTCTAAACCACCTGCTTCCATTGCCGAGATACAGGGCGCTCATATTATAAGATTATAAAACCATCTTTTAAGATCATTTTAGTGAAAGTTTCATGTTTATATCTCATATAATTTAAAAAATAATGATGAATAAAAGATTCTCGAGCAAAATTTAAATGGGCTGAAAATATTACCACCGGACAGACATGGCAGCGGAATTTAAATGACCACACTGAAGGGTTAATATTCAATTTCTATGGTCGACGTCACCTATGTGTTTCCTCCAATCTACTGTTCAAACCCACTATCCTCAAGAAGCTTTAAAGTGTAAATTTCACGGTATATACACCTACAGGGAACTTTTGGCAATTCATAATGTTCTTCTTAACAAGGCACAAGATATAATAATCCAAATTACATTGTGCCGTAAAATAAATGATCACGAACGTGAAGGCAAGTGACAATTTGTAAGAACCAGTGTCATATTTGTACCTGGTAGGCGGCTTCCTTCACACGGGCTCTGCGGTCTTGTTTCTTTCTTTCCTTTGCTTCTTCCTCCTCTTCTCTTTCCCTCAGCATCTCACGTTCCGTTTTCTTCTGGTCTTCTCTCTCACGTTCTCGCTCCCTTTCTCTCTCTCGTTCTCGTTCCCTTTCCCTCTCACGCTCTCTCTCTCTATCCCTGCAGTACCATTCAGTTTATTAGCCTGGATATCTCTTGTGGGTTACTGCACAACACTTTTTCAGTATTAACACTACATAGCATCAGATGGTATGACAGATGCATAATGAGCTGGAAAGGGTTTGGAGGAAATTCGTCACAGCTCAATCAAGTACAATTTAGTGTGCAGTGAAAAAGTGGCAGTTTTACAAAATGTGAGTGCATTGAAAAAATCGGTCTGATAGATAACATTTTTGTTCTCATTTCAGTTCCTGATTTTACTGAATTCTCATCTCGAACTTTAAAAGATAATCTCATAAAAACTCTAAAATTAAATGAATTGTACCTGGAATGTGATCTTCTTGCACGGTCTCTGCCCTTTGATCGTATCTTGTTAGAATATGAACTGCTTCCAGGTGATGCACTGCGGCTAAGTTCCCTGCTGCGTGACCTTGACCGTGAACGTGGCGAGGGGCTATGGGATGTAGGTGGTGTACGAGTGCGTGCCCTATGGTCTCTATCCCGCCCTCTGTCCCGATCTCTATCACGACCAGATGCAGCTGCTCGCTCACGAGACTCCCGCTCTTCGAGCTCTCTTCGCCGTCTTTCTACCTCTTTCTCCTCCTCCTGCTTCTGTAAGATAAATCACCATCATCATCAACAAACACCCACTACTGACATTACCACCACCAATTACGCCTGGCAAGGCTTCTGTATTATAATTCATCACTCCAAAGGAATTAAATAAAGACAGCAGTACAAGATCAGCTGAGTATAAAACCCATTCTATAAGAATGTCTTGTGAATGAGAATTTGATCTTCTAATATTAGACTTTCCAAACCCTCTACACAGAATTGCAAGTCTTCAGAATGGCTGTCCTACTGTGCTATAAGCTATAGGGAATGTCTAAACTGTGAACTATTTTAATGAATTTCATTTTTGTTTCTCAGGATACATTAATATACTAAGTCCAGCATTTTAGTTCTGATGTACAGAGGCTCTTAACTGCTGAAATAGCCTACACTTTATTCTACAGGATTTTCCACCCCATCTCTGAAACAATTTTATCTGACATGTAGGAGAAACCTTGCCAGTGTTTTTGTTGTCTCACATTAACTCCGTCAGCAAGCACTATTCACCGATGTCCTCTGAAACAATAGGTTTGCTGGAGAACACATATTCACCCACTAGTATGGCTGCCTGCCCAAATGGTGACCAGCTGTTCTCGCATGTCACCAAGAGGTGGGATGGGCTATATCTAATAGTCACATGGAGTTACACGGCCCAGGAGGACCAGCCAACAGCAGTTAAAAACTGTTATGAACCAATCTAATATCAAACAGAAATAATACATAATAAAAACGAAGTTGTCATCTTCTACATACATGTTTCCTGCCACAAGAGTCATGTTGAAACTGGGTGGAACTAAAGCACCATCTTGTATCAATTTTCACTATGTTCACTTTAAATATCTTCACCGAGACTTTCTTCTTGTCACACACAATCTGGTATAGAAGTAAGAAAAGGGGTCATCCCCCTTTCAGAAATGAACTGGGAGGAAATGACCACAGAGCACAATGAAACACCAAGTCAAATTCACACAGTGAGTCAAAATGCTCCTCATCGACACCATGCACAGGTCCACTGAATATCAAAGTCACAGCGTAGACTCGGTACATGGGATATTCAGTTGCTTAGCTCTTCTTGAAGGCACATTATCTCATATGAAACCATGCCTGGAATGAAGGCTGGTTCAGAATGACATGTAACATATGACCAAACCTAACGCACACTGTTAGCAATTCCGTCCTCTACGTATTTATTTCAAATATTCAGATTTCCAACATCATCTTGTTCATGCAGACAATGAGCTGCAACGTCATGGTCATATGCAGAAGCATGCAAACCTGGTTGTGCTTACTTCGATATCATGTAAAACACTTGCCAAAGGATGATTTTATGACCCTACCAGCATCTAGACTACGAGCATATAGCATCAAATGGTAGGATGACTGATGTACGAGAAAGGATTTGGAAGGAAGCGGCCATGGTATAGTAGTGGTACTATACTGGCATCCGACTAGAGACACTAAAAAATAAGAACAAGAAAAACCTCAGCCGGAGTATCAGGTGGCCTGGCCGAGATCTGAGTGAAGCACCTCAAAAATATGATGCATAGGCAGGTTATATGATGAAATGGAAAGGCTAAGAAAGGAAGCAGTTATGGCCTAACTGAGGTACTATCTCAGCATTTGCCTGACCAGCCTATGAGAAAATCACAAAAAGAAAAACTGAGTCTATATAGCCAGTGTCCCATAAATACAAGTCTACAAAGTGTTACGATGAAACCAACCTGTTTGGACCTGAACATCAGCTTATAGCATTATCATTATGCCAACCTGCTCAGTGTGAAGGACAAGGATGGATGAGCTGTTGGCTCAGTAGTCTGCATAAACAGAAGTGCTATTTTTGTGCGCTACTACTTATATGGCAATGGATTTAGAAAGTGTGATATATATACTGCCAAAACATTCACCCCAAAATAAAGTTATGAAAAAATGAAAGTGACACTGCTCTTCTTCATCCCCATGTATTAAGTTCAGCTAATGAAAACCGGTAAGGGGCCACCAATTTTCTGCCATGGATAATGTCACTTGTGAATGAAATGTTATGTGTAGGGTTCAACAGGCAACAAGACAATTAAGTCACAGGAAATGTAAAAGTAAAGTAAAGCTATCCCTGCAAGAGGCCGTGGAGGTCCATAGGGTTGTGAGATGTTGAGGTTCCCACATTTTCTATACAATGGGCTCATAGATGGTGGTAAGGTTGTCAGCCCTATGCACTAGCCGCCCTTTACCCCAAATTATATTCCTGGTACTCATTTTTGTTAGAGGCTGAGTCGATCCCACGGCCGTAGTGCGGCTGGAAGGATTAGGTAAATTGAAAAAATCCAATAAAACATTTAACTGAATTCTGAGTAGCCAAGAAACTTCCAAACACAACTGAAATGTGAAATGCAAATGGTATCTAGTAAACTGCATTAGGAAAACATACGTATCTCACATTTTACATTTGCACCGGTCTAAGACTTATCTTCATTTATTTTTATTTTGCCCTAAAATGTAACTTGAAAGAAATCTAAAAGACTAAGGAAAGGGTGCAACTGAACAGTCTAGTTCAGGTACTTGTGTATGCTGATAGCATTAATGTATTAGATGAAAACATAAATACTGTAAACAGTGAGAAAAAAGAATTGGCATGCAAATGAAGATTCCGATTCAAAAATAAATGTTAGTAAATGGATTTAAAGCCAACTACAGTGGCCTGTTTATTTCTGAGTATACACACAGAACTAGTTAGTTAGTTAGTTTTTGGAGAGGGTGGGTTTCCCCATGCACTTAGACCTGTATTGGTCCCCTTCTATGATTTCTACCAGTCTCTATATCCTACCGGTACTGGTGCTTACCATCAGTCCCGCCCAGCCAGCGAGACCGGCTCTACTAGCTGAGAGGTATCTATAATGCTTCCCCCATCTACCAGAGGTATTAGAGACTGCTGTTGGGCGGGAAACGTCCGTAATTTGGCTCAGTGACCTCCTTTGGAGATATGAGGTTCTTTTACGTGCCGTAAAGCTACGACATGGGACCCACGGCTTAAAGTCCCTCCCGGAAGACTTGTTCCCTGAATTTTTCCGCCCTTAAAAATTCGACGACCTCCGCCGGGTATTTGAACCCACGTACTACGAGTCATGAGGTGGGAACGTTACCTCTAGACTACGAAGGCTGCTTCACACAGAACTAAGTATGCAAGCAACCAACAGAATCAAAAGTTACTACAGAAGTCACATGAAATATATCAGAATCTAAGTAGCTGGGAACAATAAAAAAATGTAAGGCTTCAGACTTAAGTGATACCAATTAAAGTGGAAAAGCAGAAAATATAAAGAAAAAATCGTTAGTTATAAGGCTCAGTATTGTTGGGCTGGTTAAATCACCATTATCATAGGCTGAACAAGTAGACAGGATGAAGTAAACAAGAAATGCAAAGAATTCTGGTGGAAAAGCTACTGGAAATCAGATACCTGGAGGACTATGAGACTGTAAAATATACAAGTTATCTCAGAGAAAGACTGTAAGGAAGCAAACTGGGATATGATGGCCCACAACATAGATAAATGGTTGGCTTTTGTATTAATAGTATTTCAGTATTATGAATGCCTTAATATACAAGAATAACGCAGCATCTAGATGTTTAATGGAATCAGAAATCACAGAAAGAAAATCAGAGAACATTTTTTCATTGAGATTATACCTTAAAATTCCAGAACCATTATACTTCAAGCTTCAAGAGACTGCACAGATGCAAGATGTATAATACAATGTTATTTTATTTCAACCACAATATAAATAAAATGGATATTAAAACTAGATTTAAGAGAACTAACTGTGGAGTGTGAAGGACTCATTCTATAATAATCAAGCCTTTAAAATATAAAAAACTAAATTAAATTAAACAGAGAAATGTCAAAGAAACTACAATCTAAAATAAGAATGGCCACCTATCATGCCTGAAACAAATTATATTCATATCAATGTTACACAAAATAAATTGGATTCTAACAGAATAGTGAGGAGACCAAATCCAGTTATCCTCTGAGTGCAGTTTCTTGCATGTGTCTGACTATGAGAAAACCAAATACAACACACCTGTGCATTAGACAGAAGTGCATAAGGGCTAATGGCAAAGGAAAATGGATAACAAAAACATTTACATTCATAACTAAAGAATTAACATTTAAACATTTTTTACTCTTACTATAAAGGAAGGAACTTTAGACTTCTGAAAGATGTGAGAACTTTAAAATATGCTACACACAAACATCTGGGAAATATTACTTTCTTTCGAAACTCTGGAAACTGTACCTCCTCATGAAGGGAAATTACTTTATTAAATTAAATATAATAGTTCATTCATCCTGCAACTGGTTATCCATTTATGATCTGAAGATGGAAATCTATTTTAAACATCTCTATGAAACTCATTAGGAGTTTATTCTTTCTCTCTACAGCTCTACAGCCCTTGTCAGTGGGACAAGAGGATCAGCCCATTGCAAACACAGAATAAACGCACAGACATCCATGCCTCAAGTGGGATTCGAACCCATGATCCCAGTGTTCGAGCAGGCAAAGACGAATTTCATTAATTATGTAAGATGACAATTATATGGACAATATTCCAGTTGTAGAAACACATTTAGGTTCATATTCTTACTCTCCTTGTTTGGTGTATTTTTTAACCCTTAAGATGGAGGCAGTACATTACTCTGACCTGTCAATACACTTCTACCAGACTACATGGCATCACATCCCAGAGGAAAGTACTAACTTTCCATTTCACATTACCTTTTAGTTTCTCGCATCAAGATGTACAGTAAAATGGGTATTGCCATCTGGGGAGTAACACTGTGTAACTCAGCAGAATCCTCCTGAAATTCCAGAGGAGCACACAGCCTCCATCTTCAGGGCTGAAGAATAAGCCAAGCAAGCCAGAAAGTAGCCTGCATAGTTCTGGTTTCTTGCTTGGCTCACTCTTCAGCCTTTAAGATGGAAGCGGTACGTTCCTCTGGAATGTC